TATCTTAGGGTAGCAGTCATCGGATCGATGAAGTCCTCACATTTAAAAATACACAGGCATGAACTGATTTTCAGTGGAGGTGTCACAGGATTGGAACCTTTTGGGAAACTGAGGCACTGTGAAAGTGATAAGTCCTGCTTCTTCACTTATTGAAGTATAATTAGAGAAGCACCCTGAGGCAAGCATATAAAGCAAGGCTTATTTAAAAAGGGGTAACATAGACTTCTCCCACCAGAGAAGGGGATCACAGCTGGTATCCTGGTATCCCAAGACGCGAGAGTGTTTTGCCTTTTTATATGTCCTAGGCTTCCTTTGTTCTCCTGCTCTCTTCCTCTCCCTCTCTCCTTCCTGTGTATGTGACTAGGCTTAGGAGATGCTCCAATGGGATGGCCAAAAGGCAAGAAGCATATAGGTTAGAGGGGCCAAGTTGGGGTGTAATCAACAACTCCCTATTGGGAGGGACAATCTCTGAGACCGGTTTCCTTAGCAATAGGTTGGAGCAGGGGCAGGTTATCTTGAGAAGGGTGAAGGAAGGGCTCTGAAGGAAGCCTCTGGATTCAACCATTGCCTGTGTGCCTGTCTAATTCCAGTTCCAAAAGCTTCCTCTCAAACCCCAGTTCTTGTGATCAAGTCAGATAGTTTCTGTTCCTCCAGGACTTTATATACTTGAAAGGTAATATCAACTAACTGTAAGGTTTATGTCAATTGTTCGCTCCACCCACTGAAGCTTCTTCCTGATGTCTGGGGCACTCTATTCAAGGAAGGTCATATTGAACCATGGGGAGGTTTTCGGGGACCTCTCGAGAAGGGCCAAGAGGCAGATGCTTGCATATGTAGGGACTCTCAGCTACCCCCTGCCTTTCCATAGATTCCCTGGCCTTGAGTTACAGTCAGGACCTGGGGAATTTGGGAAAGGCTTGTCCCTGGTGCTGAGGGCAGACAGGTGGCACTATTATGCCAGATTCATGGGACCCCAATAGACCTCCAGGAGCCAAGCACACAAGAGTCTTTATTGCAAACTCCAGCCTGGACTCACAATTGTTCCCGATGCAGCCGTCCCAGGGAGTGAGTCCCGGTCCTTTGTTCAGTGAGATTTGATAGGTTTTGGGGGGATACTCTATGCATCACAACATCACACAGCAAATCATTCCATACTGCGGGAAAATCAACAACTCTTAACATTGATAGCACATTCACTGGTGGGAACAAGTTGGAGATGGGTGATTGGTTAGTACAAGAGGGGGATTCCTTTGAACTGATTTGTTTAGGCCATGAGGGGTGTATGTGCTAAACTACATGGTTTCCCAACATATTAGCAACCACCATAAACTACTTGGGGGTCATCTGGCATCTGGTTTCTCAAAAATGGAGTCACATTGAAAGGGTAACGTTTCTAAACTGCAAAGCATGGGTTAAATTCCTGAGGCAGTTAGGACAAGGCCCCACTGGCCATTTAGTTGAATTATGGCCTGGAGTCCTGTGCAATTCCTCACGTAGATATTCAGGGTCCGAACCAATCAGTTTAAATGTAACCCCCTCCTTAGGAAAGACCTATCACTCCAGCCAGCCCTGTTCCCGCCAATAAATGTACTAATCAAGTCTAAGAATGATTGTTTGATTTTCCCGCGGTGTAAGGTGATTTGTTAAAGGAGACTGTGATGTATGCAAAGCCCCCGCCCCCTCCTCCCCAAAAGGTGTACTTAAGCATTGTTCAACCCCTGCTCTGGGCTCTGGGCTGCTCTCGATTCTTGAGTGGGCCTAGAGTCTCAGCGCGCTGAATTGGATCCTAAATTAAAAAATCCCCTTGTGTGTTTTGCATGAAGTCAGTCTCTTGTGGTCTCTTCTTCCGACTTTTCGCCGGTCCCTTACAACATCAGTTTCTCAGTACCAGGAATAGAACCTAGGGGCACTTAACCATTTAGCCACAATCCCTGCCATATTTATTTATTTTTAAATTTTGAGACAGGGTCTCCCTAAATTGCTTAGGGTATCACTAAATTGCTGAGGCTGGCTATGAACTTGCTGGAATTATAGGTGTGTGCCCAGCAATTTTTTGTTTAGTTTTGCTCTTCTTGTGCATAATTATTCATCCTGCCAGTTCTCCTGTGCATTTATGTTGATGGGATACTGTCATAGCAAGGATTGCTCTGCCCTAGTTGAAGGGTGACCCCTGGCCAAATGGGGTGTCCTGTCAGACCTTAAAAGAGGAGGCTGCAAAAACAGACAAAAATACTCTTTATTTCATTTCAAGAATTTTAGGAAAATATAATTTAAACAATAACAACTACAAAGGGTGTAGAGAAAGCAAACACTTTACTAATGAATAAATGTTATATCAGTAGGTGACGGGCAATAAAATGTAATCTGCTAAGGGATTCAAAAGAGAGAAAGAAAACTCACCCTTTGTACAAACCATTCCATACTAGTTTTCACATAAACACTAATTAGTCTTTAGTAATAGCATACAGGACTCTACAAAACACAGTTGTTTTATTCTGATTTATTTGGTAATGTTGGCAGCCACCTGTTACCTAATTAGTTTATGTAGAGACACACATTTAAAAAGCCAATAAAAATCCAAAGTCACACCTTTTTGACTGGTGTAGTTTTATACCTTGGAGCAGGGGCTCATTCCAGCTGGATCAAATAACCCCCAAAATGCAGGGATATGCAAACTCTCTCCCTTGTTTGCACTGCAAAAGCAGAGCTCTTAAGTACTTCTGAAAGACAATCAAGGGCCATTAGGCTACAAAAGCATTAGGTTGTTGTTTGTTTTGGTACTGGGTATTGAACCCAAGGGCATTTTAGCATTGTGCTACATTCCCAGTCCTTTTCAATTTTTATTTTGAAATAAGTCTTGCTAAGTTGCTCTGGGTATCACCAAATTGCCCAGGCTAGCTTTGATTTTGTGATCCTCCTGCCTCAGCCTCGTGAGTCTCGGGTATTATAGGTTTGTACCACCATGTTGCCAAAAAATGTTATTCAAGTTTTAAAAACACATTTTAAGACGGGACTGGGGATGGGGCTGGGGCTCAGCAGTAGCACAATTGCCTGCCATGTGTGAGGCACTGGGTTCAATTCTCAGCACCACTTTATGAGTAAATAAAATGAAAGTCCATCAACAACTGCATATATATATATATATATATATATATATATATATATATATGAGAAACATTTCAGGAGAAAAAGAAAGCAGACACATTTACAAGCTGTCAAAGGTAAATATTCTGACCAACAGAGGGAGGAAAGTAAATCTCTTCTCTTTTTTATTTATTCATTATTTATTTAGATACTGGGGATTGAATCCAGGTGTGAGGTACCACTATTTATATCCCCATCTCTTTTTATTTGTTATTTTAAGATAGGATCTTTCCAAGTTGCTCTGGATGTCCATGAATTGACCCAGCTAGCCTTGAATTTGTGATCCTCTTGTGTCAACCTCCTGAAACATGCCACCACACCCTCCTTTTCTCTTATTTTCAAAATAGGAATTAAGTCTCTCCTTTTACACTCATATTTATTATTAAGATGCACATATACAATATCCTTTAAACATCTTGATGTTGATCAAAAGAAAATTTTAACTAATTGAAAAATTACATACCCCATGGCTTTATTTCAAAAGATATTAATTAACAATTCATTTCAGTATGCAATAGGTACATTTTTCAGGTTCCAGCTGCAAAGACAATACAGTTTTCTTTGTTTGTGAGGGTTTTAGGGTAAACAAACAAAAAATATTGATGTTTACTTTAATAAAGGAGGGAATACATGGTTTCCAGAATTTTTTTGAGGTATGGAGAAAAAAATGTGGTAAAAATTCAGTTCTACCTCCTCTGCTTCCCAGGGCCTCTGCCCTGTCTCCTGCTGTGTCCTATGCTCGCTCACCTCCAGCCATGCAGGACTCTTTCCTTTCTTGGCATGAGGTTGCTCTGAGAAACTGATGTGACTCTATTTTGGAGAAACCAGCCTCTACCTCAGAGCAAAGCCTGTGCAAGGAAGGGGGCGTGACCCTTGTCCTGGGAAAAACCCACAGAGCACTCATAGGCTGAGTTATTTGTCTGTAAACAGGAGAGATCTGCAGAACCAGGTGTCCCTGACTCAGGCAGGCTAGGTGAGGACCCATAGCAACCCCTAGCAACCACCAATCAGCATGAGTCAGGGAAAATACCTGGGATGGCAGATAAATCCCCAGTAATTTATGGTGGTTGATAACATGTTGGGAAACCACATAGTTCAGCACGTACACCCCACGTGGCCTAAACCAATCAGTTCAAAGGAACCCCCCTCTTGTACTAACCAATCACCCTTACCCAACTTGTTCCCGCCAGTGAATGTGCTAATTAATGTGAAGAGTTGTTGTTTGACTTTCCCGAGGTGTGAAATGATTTGCTGTGTGATATTGTGATAGAGTCTCCCCCCAAAACCTATAAAATCTCACTGAACAAAGGACTGGAACTCGCTCCCTGGGACCGCTGTGTTGGGAACGGTTGTGAGTCCAGGCTTGAGCTGGCAATAAAGACTGTTGTGTGATTGCATCGAATTCGGCTCCTAGAGGTCTATTAGGATTCCATGAATCTGGCATTACAGCTTCAGCCTCATGGCCTTCACTGGGTCCTGTTCCCCTCCTAGCACTCTGTGGCCCCTGGGCTGCAAGTGGCCAACACCTCAGGTCTTTGTTCTGACATCATCCGCTCCATGGAGGCTCCTGTGACCCCCCCAGCTCCTGTCACACTCCAGTCACACCCTGCCCCACCTCTGGTCCATGCAGCCTGTGCTGCTTGTGTTTTCCTGCTCCTTCAGCATCCATTGTCTGGATCCTGGTGAGAAGAAGGCTCCAAGACAGGGGCAGAGCCAGGAGGTGGGTGGTGGTTTGGGCCTATTGCCTGTGTTAGGTATTTTCTGTTACTACATTTTTAGCCAACATAAAACACTTCTGATACTAGATGTGTGGGTCCCCCACACCAACTCAATGTCTTGTAATTCACTTCCATTAGGTAATTGGAGTTGAAGTCCAGCAAGAGATCGCAGAGTCCGAGAGGAGATCAGCAAGCTGAAAGTGATGTCAGGAGGAAAGGAGTGTGACTTAACCTGAGAAAGAGCGGTGCCTGACTCCTCTTTCTTCCCTCCAGGACCGCTTCCTCAATCAACAGTCTTTAGAAGTCAACCTGGAAAGTAGAGAACAAACTGTTTAACCCTTCAAGTGTACACATTTGTCCCCAAGATAATTTCATTATATATATGCAAATATTCCAAATTTAAAATAAAACTCAAAGTCTGAAATAATCTAGTCTCAAGTCAGTAAAGGGATATTCAACCTATGTATGCATTTCTCTTGCTTTTCTTTCTTTTCTTTTTTGTAGTACTGGAGATTTAACCCAGGGATGTTCTTTCACTGAGCTACATCCCCAGCCCCTTCTATTTGGAGACAGGGACCTGCTAAGTCACCAGGCTGGACCTGAACTGGTCTCTTGCCTCAGCCTCCAAGTTGCTGGGATTACAGGTATGTGCCACCAATCTGGACCATATGTATTCCTCATCTCTCCCCCTCTCTGCAGCAGTAGTGCCGAAACATGGCTTCCTATTAGAGTGCTGAGGCATTTTGTAAATACATCTCATTTTCCCCGCTCCTTGGTTTAGTCTGCTATTTTGCTGCTGTGAATAAAAAGACCCGACCGGCACAATTGTAGAGGGAAAGTTTCAGAGGACCTAGTCCATAGAAGGCTGACTCCATCCCTCAGGGCTTGAGGAGAGGCTGAATACCGTGGTGGGAGAGTATGGCAGAGGGAAGCAGCTTCTGTGGTGATCAGGAAGCAGAAAGAATCCTCTAGCCAGATACAAGTATATACCCAAAGCTACGTCCCAATTTCCACCTCCTCCAGCCACACCCCACCACTTTAGTCACCACTCAGCTAATCCCTATCAGGGGATTAAATCACTGATTGGGTTAAGACTCTAACAACCCAATCATTTCTCCTTGGAACCTTCTTGTACTCTCTCACACCTCACATACAAACGATACCACCTCTTATCAAAGCCTCTTGATAATACTTTGTGAAGGGTCATGGAAAATAATATTCCTAAGAGACAGCTCTCCAGGAGAAATGGAAGAGGAGAAAGGGGAAATTAGCCAAACATCAAACCTCTCCCAGTACGTCCTTCCCCCATAAAACGGGTCCTGAGGGAAAAGGCAGACTTTCATCCCTTCCTGGGTTCATCCCCAGCATCTCGACCAAAAGCAATATTTTAGGAAAGATTGTGTAATGAGATGGACATCATTACCCTAGGTACATGGAAGATTGCATGAATGGTGTGACTCTACCGTGGGAAGCCATTCTGACACGTGACTGGGTGGCTCCCGTTTAGGGTCTGAGGCGTTCTGGCTGTGTCGGAACATTCCCAGCCCTCTCCTGATGAGAGAGCCCATCCGTGTGGGGGTGTGACTGACCACTGACCCCGGGGGCCCAATCACTGACCCTGACCTTGGAGTGCAGCCCCCCCTCAACCTTCATTGGATGGAATTCTCCCCTGAATCTCTTGTTCCCCAATAAAAGGCTACTCCCAAGCGTGTTCACTCTCTCTCTCTCCTGCTAGCCCTGAGTAATCCTTGCTGCCCTGCTGGGCGGTTAGAGGAGGGAACCAGAGAGGGGAGCCAGGCTGCTGTCTTTGAATTTGTGATCCTTCTGCCTCAGTCTCTCTGGGATTATAGGCATGCAGCAACATACTCAGCTTTCTTTTTCTTAAGTAATCTAGCTAAGGGTTTGCCAATTATGTTGATTTTTCCCAAAAGCCAACTCTTGGTTTTGTTGATTTTGCCATAAATTTTCAGTTTTCTATTTCTATTCAGTAATCTTATTATTTTCTAATCTTATTATTTCTTTCCTTCTGCTAATTTTGAGTTTAGATTTTTTTTTCCTACTTCTTTGAGATGTTAGGTTGATGTGATTTTTTTTTCTGTCTCAAAATAAACATTAAAAAAATCAAACTAAAAGGGCTGGGGATATAGTTCAATGTTAAAGCATCCCTGGGAACAATCCAGAGTATTCCCCTTCATTAAAAAAGAAAAGGAAAAAATCCACAAAAATTTTTATTTTGAGCTGAGGACAGTGATTCTAGAGACTTGGGAGGTGGAGATGGGAGGACTGAAAATTCAAGACCAGCCTCAGCAACTTATTGAGGCTCTAAGCATCTTAGACCCTGTTTGTTTAAAAAAAAAATTTTTTTTAAGACAAGGTCTTGTTGGGCTGCACAGGCTGTCCTCTAAGTTGTAGTCCTCATGCCTCAGCTTTTAAAAAAAACAAAGAAAAATTTTTATTTGTGTGCTGGGAATCAGATTCAAGATCTTGCACATACTAGGCAAGCATTCAACCATCAAAGTATAGCCCCAACCCTTAGTTAAAATTAAGTGCTTCTGAATAGCCAGGATGACTGGTGTGCACTACATACCTGGTAGTCTGGTGTGATTTTATTGGTATATTGTTTTATTTAGGAGTAAAAGTGGGATTTTGAAGTTTACAATTGTGCTGCTCTTTATCTATCCTTCATTTCTGGCAGGATTTGTTTTATGTGTTTAGGAGTTCTAGTGTTAGTTAAATATATATTTCTCTTTGTTCTGTCTCCTAGTCAATTGACTGTTTCATCATTATGCAGCGACCTCCTGTCTCTATGACAGTTTGTGCCCTGTCCTAAAGTCCACTTTCTGATACTGTACAGCTGCTCCTGATCTCTTTTTAAGTTCTCATTTCTAGCCTTGACTTTCACCCTTTGCCTCTCTTTAGATCTAATGTGACTCTTGTAGGGAACATACAGTTGTCTCCTTCCTGTTATCCATTCAGTTGATGCATATCTTTTACACGTAAGTGTTGACTCTGTTTACATTTAAAGAATTTCTCTTGGGAAGTACTCACTGTGGCCACCCTGAATTATGCTGGGTTGTCTCTGGCTTGGTTTTCCCTAATAAATGCCCTCACTACCTTCTTTCTTGTTTAGTGTTGGTAGGGATGAATTTTCATTACCTTCTCAGTTCCCTTTGTGTATATTCTATAGATATTTTTCTTTGCAGTTATCATTATTCAAAAAACGTACTAAAGTTGTAACTACGTGTTTTAAATAAATGACAGGTTAAATTGAGCTCCTATACGAAATACACTCCTTTAATCTGCCTTCTTCCCCACTTAATGTTAGTAGTGACACAAATGGCCTCTTTTTGTATTATATATACCTTAACATAGATTTACAATTATCTTTTATGCTTCTGTTATTAAGTCTATCAGATATAGGTGGGTACAGTGGTGTGCTCCTGTAATCCCTGCAACTCGGGAAGCCGAGGCAGAAGGATCACAAGTTCAAGGCCAGCCTATGCACTTTAGCTAGATCTTCTCTCAAAAATAAAAACTAAAAAGGGCTAGGGATGTAACTCAGTGGTAAAGCACCTCAGATTTTAATCCACAGTACCAAAAAAAAAAAAAAAAAAGAAGAAGAAGAAGTCAGATGTAAAAGTGGCTAATACATTGAGAGTGCTGTAGAATTTTGTCAATATTTTTAATTTATGTTTATCTGGGAGTTTTATATCTTCATTTTTGCTTCAATTTAAAGGACTTCCTACAGCATTTCTTCTTTTGGCCCTGGGGATTGAACTCAGGGACACTTTACCACTGAGCCACATCTCCAGTTTTCTTTATTTTTCATTTTGAGGCAGGGTCTCTTAGGGCCTTGCTAAGTTGCTGAGGCCGACTTTGAATTTGAATCCTCCCTCCTTGGCCTCTTGATTGCTGGGATTATAGACCTGTACCACAATGATGGCTTGCTAATATTCTCTCTCTCTCTCTCTCTCTCTCTCTCTCTCTCTCTCTCTCTCTCTCTCCAGTGCTGGGGATTGAACCTGGGGCTCTGTGCCTACTAGGCAAGTCCCCTACCACAGAACCACTTTGCCAACCCATTACTTTTCTCTTGAAGTAATGATTATTCTTTGTGTCTGCCTTTTGATAGTGTATGCTCTCTTCTCATGTACATCTCTTACTTTTATCTTAGTTGGATATTTTAAAACTTTGTTGATTTACATGTCCATTTAGTTCCTCACGTTTGGGGAATGCACATAATGTCACACTTAGTTGAGTTCAGTAGGAGATCCCTATGTTCTCGTCATTTTTCTTCATTGTTTTTTTCAATTTCTCTCTCTCTCTCTCTCTCTCTCTCTCTCTCTCTCTCTCTCTCTCTCTCTCATTTAAAAGTCCTTTGAATGGCTAGCTGGGACCTGCAGTTTATTGCTGCTGCCAGCATTGAGAGAGAGGCTATCATACTGCATATCACTTCTCACCACCCTAGGAAAAGAGCCAAATTCAGAATTCTAAGCATGGTTCCTGTGTATTACTTTTGCACCATTGTAAAGCTGAGAAATTCTTAGTTGAACTGTTGTAAATTTGGGACTATTTGTCTATGTGTGTGCACGAGTGCATGGATATACAAACTTGTGACATTTATAAAAGACAAATCATCATTTTACATGTAAGCTTTGTGTTCTTTTAACTGCTGAAATTGTCTTAAGCATTTTCCATTATCTTAAATTTTTCCTGTGCTATCACTTAGTGAATTAAATAATGCACAGAATGTTAACATATCCTGTGAATGCTTGTGTGCATGATATACAGTGACCTTCTCTGTAGTTCCATGTCATTAGGCTTGAACTTGTTTGAGGTTTCTTTACCTTTTTTTTTTAATTTCAGGTTTCTTAGAGAACTCTGTCAAAGTACTCTTAATCCTGGTTTGTGTTGTTTAACTCTTTGATTCTTTAGCCTCAGTTTTTTTTTCTTAACTTTTTGGGGTGCTGGGGGTTGAACCCAGATTCTTATGCAAGCTAGGAGGGCGGGAGCTCTACCACTGAGCCATATCCCTAGCAAACTTAGGTTCAGTTTTGAAGCCTGACTGTCTGGGTTCACATGCTTCTCAGCTATTTCTTAACTATTTGACCTGAAGTGAGTTTGTGTCTGTGACAGGGTGGCCTCATGATGAGATGGGGTATTTCTTTCCCTCGCCGCTATTATGTTGCTACATGAATCAGCACGTGTGAAAGCATTTAGACTAATTCCTGCCATGGGGAACGTGTTCAAAAGTTTTAGTCATTGTCATCATTATGTTTTTTAGATTCTTTTTTTTTTAAAAAAAAACCACTATGGACTGTGTCATTGTCACAGGAAAGCAGGAAGCTGAAACTCCAAACCTTGGTTCTTGTGTTCTGACAAAAGAAGATTTAAAGTCAGACACCAAAGTCATGCAAGATAACTTTAGTAGAAGTGAAAATAAAGTTTTTAAAAAAGTGAAACTTAAGCAAAAACACTTTTAAAGGAGAGAGTGGGTTTTCTCCAAGCAGAGGCCGACGAAGGAGACAATGCTATCCCCAGTTTTATTACTGTTTAATCAGGTGTTCAGCCTCCTTTACGTTAGGCTGTGGAGTTTTTGACCTCAGTTGGTCCTCTCTGAAACTGTCATGGTAGCCATACTATGGGGGGCTTCATGGTCAATGCCATGGGATCAATAGTGGGTTAGAAGTTACCTTAGTGTGCCTGTGCTACTAAAGGAATCTTCCTTCCCAGACAGTTGGAGACACATAAAACCACAATTCCTAGCTTTGTGTCAACATCAATGGACCCTGTAAAGAGTTAGTCCCATTAATCCTTTTCTCTTGACATATTTCCCAATTCACTCCTTTTGCTTCTGTTTATTTTTTTACAAATTAACTAACACCCTTTGCTTTTTCTTCTACTTTGGAAGCAGTTTAAAGAAGAACCCTAAAGTAATTTAAAGAACACATGTGACCTTGCCTGCCTTTCATTGTTCATTGCTAGCTACTACCTAACAACATCTCTGACAATACCATATATGATACTGAACATCCCCAGATGTGTAGAACATGATATCTAACAGTATAAAGATAACTGTGCATTGATGTGTGTGTGTGTGTGTGTGTGTGTGTGTGTGTGTGTGTGTATTTCTTATCTCCAGAAATGAGGAATCCATACTGATCTAGAGGATATCGTAGCCTTCTATAGAAAAGTATAATGAAATAAGATCAGAGACATGTAATTTGCTTAAAAATACTACCCATGAAGACTGTCAGAGCATTCACTTTAATGGGGTTGATTCTTATACCTCTCTCCTGTTGTTATTTTTTGCAAATGGTAAATCTCTGCCTGAAGTTAAATGTATTTTTGTTTCAGGGTCTGCTGACATTCAAGGATGTGGCCAGAGAATTTTCTGAGGAGGAGTGGAAGTGCCTGGGCCCTGTTGAGAGGGCTGTGTACAGGGACATGCTGCCGGAACCTACAGGAACCTAGCCTTCCTGCTTGAGCACTACTTCCCCCAAGGTCGGGGTCTGCTCTGCAAATATTTCCATTTCCCGCTGTGTGCCTCTAGGGGGCCCTGTGTGCCTCTTGGGGGCCCTGTGTGGCTTGACTGAGAATGAAATCCTGTGGCCTCTGCAGGGAGAAGCTTCAGCGTGACCTCTGACTTTCAAACATCTCCTTCCTTCAGGTGATCCTCCCCCTGCATGATCATGGGCGGTTCCAGAGCTGAAGTAGGCCTAGAGCCTTTCAGATTTTAAAACATCCACTGCTCTTATGGTTTACCTCTGAACTTGTAAATCAATAGTTCTTGGAAGAAAGCTAGATGTCTTCATTACACTGCTCCCTAAACTTTTGGTGAAAGGTAATAAGTGACTTTTTCTTGCTCCCCCCCATCTGCAATGTCCTCTCCAGCAAGTTGAGCATGGCTGCATTCTGGAAAGCAACCGCACAGCATGTCCCTTTCTTTCATAAGCAGGAATCTCTCTTCCTGATGGGAGTGTTGTCTCTATGTTGGAACTCTGGACTATGTAGACCAAGGTGAAAATCTCATGAAGCACCCCTCCCCTAGGTGGTTTTCCGTCAAAGGTGAGAGCACAGGTATGAACTCAGGTGGCAGAGGAAGCTACACCACTCATAGTGGGCCAGAGAGTCACGCAGACAGGGTAGTGGGAGAACAAAACCCTATTTCCCATCTACCTGAAAGCAATTTTCTCTCCTGCCCTTGTCAGCTGTTCTTCAAATGGAAGTATTTATCCTCCCAGCAGTGCTGCAGCTCAGACAGGGCAGAGTTTCCCTTGTGATGAACAGCCAGTGGTCAGTTCTCTGCCAGTAGATGTCAGAGCTGAGGTCTCCACACTCCTGCACCTGGACCTTCCCATCTTCCGGGTTTCCAGGGCTTGGAAGAGCTCTTCCAGGGTTAGGAAGCCTTGGCTGTTCTTCCTTTGCATCTGGGGCCCTACAGACTGCACCCAGCTGTCTCAATTCTGTTGTGGTCCCACAGATATTTTTCCATTCTGCTTTTAATGTGCTGCTCAGATGGTAGAATAGGCCTAGAATACAGACTCATGGTGGGAAAATTAGGCAAGAAGGAGAATGTGGGATCCAAGCAAATTCAAAGGCTAGCAAGCAGACTCCATGACAACTTGACTTAAGAATAATTCTCTTGGGCTTTACGCTCTGTTGTCCAGGCCAACTGGGCTGCCAGTCCTGCTCTGGAGACTCAGTAGATTAGGGTCCCCATCCCCACTCTTCTGCTCTTAGGTATATTGAAAAGAAAATACCAAAGGTGTGTCTGACCAAACATTTGATAAGAATATTAGCATGAATGTGAGTACTGGACTTGATCACTGTCCCATCAAGAGGCAAAAATAGAGACAGGGTACTACTGTGAGCATAAACCTGTGAGCAGAGCTCAGAAAATGGGCAAAATGAAGGAGACTTATCATATTTCTTCTGCCCCACAGAGCTGGACTATAGAACTATATGGCTGAAAATGGGGATGTTGTTAAGACAAGGGAAAAGGGACTTTTCCCAAGTGTGGGAATGGGGATGTGGTGGAGTCTTTAAAAGCATGGTCTAATGAGATGTCCTTAGGGTCCTGGGGAAGCTGCCCTTAGAAGCAGTTCCGGAAGGATACCTCGGATAGGGTTTCTGAGCTTTCAAGGAGAATGAGTCATAACAAATCCACCTTGATCCCTTGATTGCTCTCAGTCCTGTTTGGCAATGGAAACTCTCCCTCTGTTCTGAGCTCCTGTATGCTCCTCCTGCTGTCTGCCATGAGGCCATCATGAGAGCTGAGCTGAGGCCAGCACCATACCATCGAATCTCCAGAACTATGAGCTAAATTAACCTCTTTCTTAATAAAGATATCCTTTGATGAAAATGTTCTGATATAGACCTCGAATGCCATTCAGAAATCATCATGGCTGCCATTCCAGAGTGTATGGCCCCCAGGTCAGGGCTACATCCACCTTGATGTCAGAGCTTGGGACCAAATCCAAGGAGTTGACCTCTGGGGGCAAACCTCATCTCAACCAAGAACTATGGCATGGATGCAGCCAAGGCAAAGAGCCCCAACCTGGGCAATGCCCTAGCAGAAAACTTCCACAGGACTGCCACCCAGAGACCTGCTTTGGGGAACATTTTGCAAAACCCCAACTGAAAACACTCAGGTGCACATCAGCAGGAAATAATTAAATCAGTGGTCTGGTATTCACACAGTAGAGTTCAATGCTGGAAAAGGATCCACCCCACAAGCAACATCTCAGATAAACTCAGAATGATGACATTTAAAATGAGTGGACATAGGAATTTCTGCTGTCTGATATTCATAGAGAGTACAAAAGAGGCTACAGTGCTGTGTGCTGATGGATGGAGGAATGGTGTGCACTCTCGGGAGAGGGAGAGCAAGGACCAGTAGCCCAACTTGCCCTGTCTTATATAAAAGACTCATACAGAGTTGGGTTCGGTTTTTGAAATTTTGTTAAGTCCAACAATGACCTGTGCATGAATCTTTAGGTATTTTACATCTATGTTACAATTCATTTCACATGGAAGAAAGGGAAAGGGCTTAATGTAATAGTGTCTGCAAATATTAAGTTGCTTGACACCATGATTAATCTTTTAAATAAGGTATCAATTCTAGGTTACAAACTAAGATATAACAGACATACAACTCTCAGTGAAAAAGAGTAAAAGATAGGATTCTCTTTGAATTAATACAAAAGATATTAAGAGACAGAAAAACAACAGTGCAAATATCATAAAAAGCAAACAGTAAGTTGAAACTAGTTCCAAATAGTTCCATTATTTTACTCAACAAATGTAGACTGCCTTTCTAATAGTGACAAATACTTTGCTGACAAAAATTATTTCTTGATGGTACCATGCATACTCTGACTGGTTGTCATATATACAGAAATAGAGGCATGCACACATGTACGTGATCACCCAGTAGTAGGTCTGTTCTGACAGATCCCCGTACTGTGACTGTGCCACCCTTGTGTTTATGGCTCAGGGAGGTGAGTAACAACCAGGAGACATGGGACAGGGGCACACACATCACATGTTTCTGAGGACACTAGGGGAGGTTCTCCTCTTTATCCAGGAAAAGCAGACCCTAGTGACACTAGCATCTCTGCTCAGGAGAATAAAGGGGCTGAGAGCAGAGACACCTGCATTGATTAAGGCAGAGAGGTGCAGCATCCTCTGACTGGGAGGACCAGAAACACCCCACCAGAGATGAATGGTGAAGGAGAGAGTGTAGAGGGACATGAAGGTGCACACCAGAAGGAGGACGGTTTGGGTAGCTCTGGACTCTGGGGAAGACCTGGGGGAGGGACTCTTGCTGTGGAGGTGCTGGAACCTCTGCTTGTGCCTGTACAGGATGAGAACCATGGAGCCACTGGCCTGGGGCATGATCCCCAAACAGAGCACATCAGGGAAGGACAGCAAGGTTATACTTAGTGCCTCTCTAGTGTTGTCATGAGCACCACCAGAGCAGTATCCAAAGTCTCTTTGTGGTATTATTACTACCTCTGTCAGTTACCCACAGGAACAATGATATTGACCAGCAGGTGGAGGATCCAGCACAGGAGCACCGAGGTGCCAGTGTACCTGGGGGCTTTCCCTTGGAGCTCTGCCCACCTGGAGTCCCTGGGGCTGATGGTGATGGCCTGGAAGACACTCAAGAGGCAGGTGCTGCTGAAGGACATACCCCTGCCCACCCTGGGAACATAGAAAACAAGTTTGCATCCAAGATCCCTGAAGAAGTGTCTAAAGCCAAGAGCTGCCATGGTCTGTGGGACTCCCCTGAAGAGCAGGAAAAGGGAGTTGGCTGCAGTCAGGTGCCTGATAATCCAATCTGTGCATCTGAACCTACACCCAGAGCAGTAAAGGCAGAGGGAGGAGGAGAGGAGGCAGAAATTCCCCAGGACTCCAACCACAGTCTGGCTCAAGAAGACCACACCCAGGGTCAGGTCCCCAGAGGCCATTCTGCCAGTTCCCACAGACGATGTTGATCTTCAGATCCCAGGATCCTGCACGAGGACAAGAGGTGAGGGCTGCATTGAAAGGGTCATCTAAAGTCCAGGGCCTCTGCTTACTACTAGTTCACAATTAGGAACCTGTACTTTAAGGTGTTTCTATTACTAAAAGGATTCCATCATTAAAACATCTGTTTAATATATTAAAATGTGTTAAAAACATTGTAGCATGTATAATGGCATAATTTGGCATGAACATTCTTTATATGCAGAGTTACAAAAAATTGGGCTGTAAATGGGTAATAATGGGTGTAATGCATTCCACTATTGTCATGTATGTAAAAAACAGATAAAGAAATAAAATTAACCCATTATAAAGAAAAGATGTATACAGCCTTTTAAATTTTTTACGTTTTTAAACACTCCATGAGACAGGTACTTCAGTATAAAGTCGAGGGATGTGTAAACTGAGGGATGCTATCTGATTTTCCAGATCCACACTGGTTGAGATATCATGGGCTGATGTAGAACGAGGCATTTAAACATCACGTTCTACTATCAAACCTAGTTTCTAGAGTTTCTCCAGTTATCCATACATATATATAATTTTTACTGAACACATTAATACATTTCAGATACAGAATTTTATTATTTTGGCTTTTAAAAAGACGTGCTGATTTGTGAACGATAATCCCACCAGCCACTATCAATTAAGATTGGACCTTATAAGATCTTGATGAAAGCCAGATGCAGTGATTCCTGTAAGATTTACAGGAATCTGTCCCATGATCAGGGTGGCTTTAATGAGCATCAGGTTATCCCCACATAAACAGAGCCACAGAAGACACATTTGTTTTGCTTCCAGGAAACATTGTAAAACAGCTCCTACCAGAGGAATCATTGTCCTCACTCTTTGACACCATGAACCAAGGCACATGAGATACTAGTCAATGATGGAGTACAGAGGTTAAAGGTTAGTTTACTAGTTTAGTCATATACTCTTCAATTGATGCATGATTTACGTAAAACAGCTAGCAATGAGGTAAGATGTACAAAGAGTATTAATACAGAATACTGTAACATTAAAGCTGTAAGGCAGGAATTATTTAATACACAGTATGCACTGACATAGTTGCTTTTGAAATTGGTTAAAAAGACATTTAAAACTCAGCAAGATTCATTGAAGTGTGTCAACTGCCATCTGACATTGATTATCACAAGTCACCTGTTCTTTCCATGCTTCCTAAAGAAACTCAGGAATGAAGGCCATCTTACCATCACCAAGAGCCCCTCATGTCCCCAGTGCAGATGCAGTTACCATCCAATTCAGCACCTCCTAAGAGAATTGAGGAAGCATTTCTATTCCAGCCAGCAAAATTCAATGCACAGAATCTGCACAGGACTAGATAATTCCTACAGGTTTATCCTAGTCTTTATGGAAAGCATGAGGGTGATACAGGTGTACCTCTAGTTACCCCCCAAATTGTGTCTCTGATTGGAGTAAAGCAGGCTGGACAGCAGGTTAATTTGAGAATTTCAGTCGAGCACCTTGTCATTCTGGTGTCATTGTCACGTGGGTTAAGAACAAAAGAGTTTATTGCTGTAGCTGTGGTAACTTTCACTGGGGGCACCAGACACTGGTGGTGGACTGCTGCCCTCAACTCCCTGCACTAGGGCAGTCCGGGCCTCAGGAATTTCGACTCCTGAATGGCTTTGGCACTGGAGCACGTCTGAACTCTAAGATCCCCCCTTTATCTGACACCCCACTTACCTAGACTCCGACGTGCCTCCTTCCCTCACACATTCTGTCAGGCTCCAGTAGCACATCCCCCCTTCCTCCATTCTGCTGACTGTGAGCACACCCCGTGGTCCTGACAGGCAAGGCTGTGTGGGTGGAGGCAGCCAGACCCTGAAATAAGGCTTTGTGACTATGTGACCTCACTGCCCTGCACAGCTGCAATGATCCTGTCACCTGTCATGGCAAGGACCGTGTAGCTGGGGAAGCTGAGATCAACAGAAAACTTTTTGCCCAGTTGCAATTACCAAAAAAAGCCCCTAGCTCCTACCTGGCATTTCCAAAGAGACTTGGGAGTGTCTGGGGAGGCTCCTTTCCTTGATCCCTGGACACGGACAGTGGAGCACATAAAGAAGAGCAGGGAATGCTGGGTGTCCATGGATGGATGACTGGATGAAGGCAATGAACATGCATATCTCTCCTGGAATACTATTCAGCTATTAAAAGGAATGAAATATTGTCATTTGTGGCAGCATTGAAGAAATTGGAGGACATTGTCATAAGTAGAAATGTAGACTCTGTTGTACAAATACAGAAAGTGTGACGTATTCTCACTTATATGTGGAAGCTTAAAATGTTTGTCTCAGGAGAGAGAATAAGTGAACAGAGGTAAGGACACGGGGTAGGAAGGTAAGGCTCAGGCCCACAGGGAAAGTTGATAGGAGTGATATCTACTAATATTCTATAGCACAGTAGATAAATACCATCAATGCCCCTTAATTGTATATTTCAAAACCGTTAGTAGAGAATAGTTTGTTTCCAACACATAATACAGGATAAATGTTTGATGTGAGATGCCAGTTATGCTCTTTGGAGCATTGTATGTTTTATACATGTATTGAAATGTCACTCCGGTCATCCCAGATGCCAGAGTTGAGAGAAGTAAATCCAGGTGTTTAATGTCCCAGTGTTGACTTAGACCAAAGGAGAAGGTTAATCCAGTAACAAAGGTAGTATCTGGAATTTTCCTTTTCTTTAAACCCGGTGTATATAAGGAATCCTTGATAATTTTTATCATACGGGGATTTAGCATTTTATTTTATTTTTTGGGTACTATGGATTGAACACAGGGGCACTTGGCCACTGAGCCAGGTCCTTTTTGAATCTTATTCAGAGACAGGGTCTCACTGAGTTGCATATGGCCTTGCTGTTGCTGAGGATGTCTTTGAATTCAAGATCTTCCTGCCTTAGGATTCCGAGCCGCTGGGATTACTGGTGTGTGCCACTTTGCCCAGCAAAACAGTTATTTTAGATTTAGATTTTTCTTATACTTTTTAAGTGCAGTATCTTTTACATATTATCTTGGATCTCTTTAAAATATATAGATGGTATATTCAATTAGGTGATTTTCTTGTTTTACTTTGTAGCATTTTTTTCATCTTTTTTGCTTTTCCAATATATATCCCTGTTTATTATAAACTCTTTAATTCCTGTGTTTTATTGCCATTAATATCACTTCCTAAACAGTATTTGATAAGCTAGGCACATTGGCAAATTCCTGTAATCCTAGTAACTCCAGAGGCCCAGGTGGGAGGATTGCAAGAGCAAAGCCATCCTCAGCAAATGAGCAAGGTCCTAAGCAGCTTAGTGAGACCCTGTCTCAAAATAAAAAATAAAAAGGACTGGGGATGTGGCTCAGTGTTTGTTGCCCTTGGGGTAAATTCCTAGTGGAGCCTCCTTTCATATACTATATAATATAGAAAATGGAGGTTGTCTCCTGGTGCTCTCTTGGACTTCACTTGGAATTAAGTCAGCTATTTCTCTATAGGAAAGATAAGTTGATGCTTAGTGACATTTCTTTGTCAAGTTGAATGAACAGTCATGGTATCTTGCTTTATTTTTATCATGATCATATGTAGGATTCTGCCATATCTCTTTGTTTGCATCAGTTCAACCATATGTCCTTCAGCTTATCTTTATTAAGAAATGAATTGACTTATATATATTTTCTAACAGAAATAATTTTCAAAAGATATCTGCAAATCACAGAGTTTCTTTCATAGAAGCTCATCCCAGGACGAGTGAATCTCATATAACAGCAACAATTATTGCAGTTCTTATAGGAGAATCACTTGGTCCTCGTATAATCTTCAGTGTGCCAATATTTGCTAACACTAGTTTTAGTATTTTTTTAAATTCCCATGATTTCAGAGGTGACAAATATATTTTTGAAAATATCAGTAAGTATTTTTGTGAAGTATTTGGAAACCTTATTCTTCAATGCCTTTGAGTACCTTAAGTTTCATTAAATTCTCCAATATTTGGGGGATAGTATTAGATATTAGATCCATGGCCTCACACATGCTAATCACCCACTGTACTACATAGCTACATCTTCTGACCCTAAAATATTCCTTTTGATACTTGGTATTGAAATGAGCAATAACAAAAAGCCTTCCAATAACAACAATGAAAAAGCCAGGAGAAGATGGATTCTCAGCTGAGTTCTTCCTGACATTTAATCAGAAACTAATGTAACTCCTCCCTGAAGTATTCCAAGAAATATTAAAGGAATGAATGCTTCCATTTTTTTTTCTGTGAATCCAGTATCACCATAATTCCAAAACCAGATGAGGACAAATGAAGGAAAGAAAACTGAACAATATTCTTGTTTTGTTTGCTTGCATCACAGTGGGTCATTACTCGAAACTAGGCAAGTGCTCTCCTGCTGACCTAGGCCTCAGCATGGTCGAAACTTCAGTTGGTGTGTGATCCATGCCAAACGTGTAACAATTATTCCAAAATCTTCCTGCTAGCACACAGACCTGACCTATGATTCTACTGATAAATGAGAATGCAGGGACCTACTGTCATTAGACACACCATAGTCCCATTCTGTGCACAGAGAAAGCCCAGCAGACTTTCTTTTTAACGAACATGTACCGGGATTCAATGCAGGGGCACCCTACCACTGAGCCACATCCACAGTCTTTTTGTTTCTGATTTTGAGGCAGAGTCTTGTTAAGTTACAGCTTTGCCAAGTTGTGGAGCTAGCTTGGAACTTGCAATCCTCGTGCCTCAGCCTCCTGCCTTGCTTGAATTACAGGTATGCTCTGCTGTGGTGCAGGTCTGTCCTTGGATCTTCTTAAATACTAGTTCTCAATGGTATCTCGGAGGCCAGGGTCTAAAGGATTTCATATGTTACATTTTGATCATTTTCTGGACTAGTGTGGTGCCCTCCCATGCCCTCGCAGG